GAGAAAAGAAAAGGAGAAAAAGGCGGAATTTCAGCCAATCAAATTTTTACATAGTGCAAATTTACTATTTAGGATGTAATTTCAAATTTGGAAAAAATCCTGACTGTAATCAGCAATTAGTAAGTGAGTAATGTTATTTGTATACCTCAAGAGGTATAAAAGAGCTTGGTTTTAGACCAAGTGAGAATCATCATGTTCATGATACAATAATAACAATAACACAATAATAACATTGTAAACAAAATATTATCACTAATAAAGACACATAACACTTTTACAATAAATAACCTGATCCTTAGAGAATAAACTGTTAACAAACCGTTGTTGAAAAAGCACCTTTCATCTTAATCTAAAATTATTCCATCTAGGGGATGCCTTAGCTAGAACAATGGAATAAATCTCATTTATTTTATTTATCTTAGGCCTTTGCCAGCAGTAACAAATTGGGAAGATGTTTCTGGGTAAGTGTTTATCATAAGAATGGTGGTGGTTATCACCACTTCACTCTAGTTTATTTAAAAAGAATGGTGGTTATCCCACTCTAGTTTACCATTAAATTAAAGCTTGTTTATTTATTGCCTAGAGCATTATTATCATCATCATCATCATTGTCATTGGTAATCAACAAAAATTAACTTGAAATTTAATAATATAATGAAATTTAATAATTTATAAAATTTAATTAATTTTATAGAACAAGATATTTCTTGTCAATATCTTAAAAAGAGACTAATTCATTATACACATCATTTATCTATAATAGACTACTGTACATGAACAAACAAATTCAAAAAGAAAAAGAAAAAAATTTTTTGATGAAGAATTGACAGAAAATCTTCAATTTTTATTTGATGAGTCAAATGAAGATTTAATAATGAAAAATATAGATGAAAGTCCCTATTAGAAGAAGTTGGATTACCACTTAGAAATGATGGTTATAATCAGTGTTGTACATGGGACATGTCCTGGACAATGTCCAAAAATGTCTGCATAACAATTTGTCATGCGGACGTGTCCGCTCATTTTCTTAAATGTCCCGGACTGTCCGGGACCAGTAGTACAAACCAC